TTTTTGTTTATGTTTTTTTCTTTAATTTATTTAAAGTCCTGACTCCCAGACTTGTAGTATAATTTTGGGTCTTGATTTCAGGTGAACAGATAAGTAGAAAATAAACTATACCTTAATTCTTTAATGAGAATATAGTGCCCTTTAACAAACACATAGTTGCCTTTAATAATAAAAATATTGATAAAACCCTAATTCATGAATTTATTCCGGCTGTAAATATTAAGTGGCATTTAATATTTAGCTGTGACATCGATACATAAGTATGTAGATACAAAATAGGACTAAACTATTGCAGATTTAAAGCAGTACTAGCACTCGTATGTTATAAATATAAGTACAGATCTTTTCATATGTGTGTTTTGTTTTTATAGCATTACTTTATTCATACTAACTTTCCATTCTTTTTTCTTTTGGTGACCCACTTTTGCCTCATATTCTCTCTTTGTACTTTTTGAACTTCCCTTTTTATGTAAATTGACCACTAACACTGAATTCCTTTTTGCAAATTGAAGCTCTTTCCCCTTTCATGTTCCCTCTTACGTGCCAGATTAGAGAACATGAATGCTCTCTAGTTTTAAACTGTGTTTTACTTAAGTACCTACCCATACTTCCCATGAGGGCGAAAGCCATGTAGCCTTGAGTACTCAAATAACCATGTGCAAAGGTAAAAAGTTCATGTCACGCAGTATATGTAATTCATATAGTCTCCCTTTATATTTAGTTGTTCTTTTACCACTTTAAACAAGTGTGACTCATTTTATAATAACTAAAATTTGTTTGAAACACCAGGTTTTATCCTAGTTTATAGATGCAAAATTATGACCTAAAAAGAAAAGAAAAATCATCATTTCTGAGTTTCCATTTATAGGGACCTGATTTTATAATTAGGAATGAAGAATAGCAGTGTTATATATTTCAGTGAACAAAACAAAAAGTATTGATTTTGGGCTCAAATAGAAATTGCTTTAATCTAAAACAGATTATTTTTAATTTAGTAATTAATTTTCTACAGAATGAGATGATTCCCTTACCAGTGGCTTAAATAAATAATGTAACACCAATATATCACACACAGCTTCTTTTTATTTTGTGTCCCGGATCTAATTTATTTGAATTTTTCTTGGCAGAAATAACAACAGGAAAAAAAATCATTAATAGCAAAGTATAGAACATTTAAATGTGCCAGGAATTATGTAAAGTTTTTTCTCTGCATCAACTCTTAATTCTCACACTTGTGAAGTAAGTGCACCACAAGGTGTGTTTTACAGATGAGAAAACTAAGGTTAATAGATGACAAAACCCAGATTCAAATTCAAAATAAAATATTTTGAGTCCCAGATCTAGTCCTATATTTATAAGTAATTATTTGTAAATACATAACATGCATTTGTATATATATGTATTTTTATATAAATGTTTATATATAAAATATTTAGTAACTAGTGTCTATTTCCAGTCACCAGCTGCATTAGCCCTTACCAAGAAAGTCAGCCTGTCCTTTGAAGCCAGACTTTGACTTCTCTGTCCTCTGTGGCATCTTATTCCATCAGAAGTCTGTTTCATCTGCATTGAAAATCTGTTCTCTAGTGTAGTCACCTTCATCAGTGATCTTAGCTAGATTGTAGATAACCTATGTGCAGTTTCTCCATCAGCACTGGCTGCTTTATCTTGCATACACACACACACACACACACACACACACACCTCAAAGCCTTAATTTATAGACATGAATAGCTTTTGTTATGAGTAGTGAGTTTTTAAATTTTTAATCTTTTAACTTTTCTTAATCTTTCACCTACCCGTCAAAGAAAGAAAAAGTCAGCTGTGCAAACAGACAAGTAAGTGTGATATATAAAGGAGTCGCCAGGAGCTGTTAATCCAAGATAAATAGGATAAATGTGGGATAACATTTATTTTGCACATTGGCCAAAACTAGTCTTGAATTTCATTGACCCACCTGTGCTCTCTTGTTCCACTGCAGTCAGCATTGCTGCATAACTACCCATTAAAACCCATGATATTTAAAAAACAAAGAATACAGGCACTTGCTATATGACAAATGTTTGCAAGTTGTAAGATTAATTATTGTAATAGCAGGAGTCAGCAGAATGCCCCATAATTTTCAGCCCAAATGCCTTCAGTTGATTTCTCATTCATACAAATTTAATTTTCTTATCTTCTCCAAAGAAGATTTTTAAACACTTGAATGTCATCCTTGATAGGGTGAATCCTTGATTCACCTTGGTGTTTGCTTCATTAACTGCTTTTAGTAAGGTTAGTTTTATACTGTTGTTTTCTTTCCCTCTGTGTTCTGTCAAACCCTTTTATAAAAATTCTTCAAATGTACAGTAGTTGAATATTTTGGGACTGTCTCTGCTCTATGTTTTTTATTTTTTATTTTTCCCTAAAGACACAGACATTTCAAAGTATTTGGGGAAAAAAAGGCATACCTTAAAGACATTAACTAAGTCACCAGCTGCGTTAGCCCATACCAAGAAAGTCAACCTGTCCTTTGAAGCTTTGAAGCCAGACACTGACTTCCTTTAGCGTGAAAGTCCTATGTGGCATCTTATTCATTAGAAGGCTGTTTCATCTGCATTGAAAGCCTGTTAGTCACCTTCATCAGTGATTTTAGCTAAATGGTAGATAACTTGTGTGCAGTTTCTTTATCAGCACTGGCTGCTTTACCTTGCACTTCTATGTTACGGAGATAGCTTCTTTCTTTAAACCTCTTCAACCAACCTCTGCTAGCTTCAGACTTCTCTTCTGCAGGTTCCTCATCTTTCTCAGCCTTTATAGAATTGAAGACAGTTAAGGCCTTGCTCTGCATTAGGCTTTGGCTTATGGGGATGTTGTAGCTGGTCTGGGCTTCTATCTAGACCACAAAATCTTTCTCCATATCAGTAATAAAGCTGTTTTGCTCTCTTATTCGTATATTCACTGGAGTAGCATTTTAATTTCCTTTAAGAACATTACTTTGCATTTAAAACTTGGCTTTTTGATGCAAGAGTCTTAACTTTTGGCCTATCCGAGCTTTTGATAATCTTTTCTCACTAGGCTTACTCATTTCTAGCTTTTAATATAAAGCCAGAGATATGCAACTCTTCCCTTTCACTTGATCACCTAGAGGCCATGATAGGATACTTAACTGGTATAATTTCCATATTGTTGTGTCTTAGGGATTAGGGAGGCTTAAAGAGAAGAAGAGAGATGAGGGAATGGCCAGTTGGTGGAGTAGTCAGAACACATGTAATATTTATCAATGAAGTTCGCCGTCTTATGCAGACACTGTTCGTGGTGCTCCAAAACATTTACAAGAGTGATAATGAAGATTGCTGATCACAGAGCACCATAGCAGGTGGAATAGGAACAAAAAATTTTGAAATATTATGAGAATTACCAAACTATGACACAGAGACACAAAGTGAACACAAGCTGTTGGAAAAAAATGGCTCTGATAGACTTGTCCAAGCAGGGTTGCCACAGGCTTTCAATTTGTTAAAAAACGATCTGTGAAGTGCGGTAAAGCTAAGCACGATAAAACAAAGTATGCTGGTATATTAGAAACCTTTGGTTCTATAGCAACATGTTTGTCATACATAGACGCATACATGTGTACATATGCGGTTTTTCATTGCTTCCAAATTACTTCCAAGTTATTTAGACTCCCTCGTATGTCAGTGTAGACCCTTTGCAGTTTGGCTTTTACCTGCACTTTCAACCCTTGTCATCTTCAGAAACCTTCAAAAATAACCTTCTTTGTAGCTCTGATGATTCACCCCCGCTACCTCCAGGCAATACACCTCTTCTCTTTGCATGGAATGAGTTCCCTCCTATTTGCCCAACTTTTGAGTGTGTGTAAGTGTGTGTGTGTGTGTGTGTGTGTGTATGATTCTGTCTATATTAATTTGGTCCTCGGGCGTTTTGACTTAATTTGAGATTCCCACAGTATCTGAGACACTTCCTGGCACATAGTAGGCACCAAATAAACATGTGGTTTTATATGAGTGCCAAGTACCATTTCTTTAGGAAGTTGATTTTCTCTGATAATTGCCTTTAGTAAGAATATTTAAATTGCTTCTTAAATTCTAAACTACATTGTTTTTATTCACACGAAAAATTAATCTTGCCGTATTTTTTTTAGAGTGCCACTTTAAAATGTATCAGATTAAAAACCATCAGCATCTCAGCATTTTTCACATTTGTACATGTATACATGCATGTGCAGACACACACAGACACACTTATCAGCAAGGTTGTTTGCCTTCACTTTTTCTCTGAGTAATAATGAAGTGAAGGTCTTAGAAACAGAATTTTATGACATGTAAACAGCATTCATAATTCCTCCAAGAGAATGCCAGTATATTTGTATCAAACAAAAAGAGCAGGAGTTATGGATGACTCAGTGTATATTCAGCCAAACAAAGAAATCTTCGTTGATTTTATTCCTACTGGACATATCTCAGTATTGAACACCATTAATAGTGTTGGCCTCAAAACAGCTCTTCACTAGGCCTCTCTTCTTCTTTCAGGACTACTTCCTTTGATTTGATTTCCAGACCATTTCTGGAATGAAGTAGTTGCACTCTGGAATAAGCTACAGGTTTTCACAGCCTCTCTCAAAATGTGGCACCAAGAACCAAGCACACTATTCACAATATTACTCATCTAAATCACTTTAGAATTCAGTGGAATGTTTGCCTTCCTAGTGCTGGGTGAGATGACTTTTGCTTGTCTCATGTTAATTGCATTCATCTTGAGCTTACAGTCAGCAAACACCCTCTACCTGAATTATTTTCTCATATAAACTGATTTTTAAGTGAAGCCTCAGGAATCCTATATGGTATAGTTAATTGCAGTCCTCTTGGTAGCATTTCACAAACTAATTTACACACTTTTTATTTTATTAGTAGTCTTTTTTAAAACTAGACTATTGTTTATCTTTGTGAATACTTAAGTAAAGTATTTTCTGTTTGTTTATTTCTTTTTAATTTTTGTAGTACTGGAGAAAATGAAACTGGGAGTGACACATCAAGATGCTTGGCTCAATAAGAAAACCACGTTAGGAGCAACCTATGTATATTGGAGACTTCAGAGTAACCAGCAAGGAAGAGAAAACTTAATCGTCAAGTTATCATATTTTCCAGATATTACATGGTACCTGAATTCTACTTCCTTGGATGTCATTGCTTAGATATAGTCTTGAAGGGTTTGTTGTGAAATATTGTATATATTTTTTCAAATGTATACATTGTTAATAAATTAAGAAATGAGAAATATTCTTATTTATTTACATGTTATGAGAGTTCTGGAGGAAGTAATATGTTGAAATAGCAAAACAGTTTAGTTTTTGAGTTTAAAATGTTATGTTTTCCTCTTATATCTTCATATCAGGACAGCAGTAACTTGAATTTAGATTGTCACAGTTTACAAGTTTTTGTTTGCTCCTTCCTTCCTCTCTCTTCTCCCACTCACTGTTGTTTGTTGTTTTTTCCTAATTTACATGTTTAAAGTTCTACTTAAAAGTTTTCTTCAAGTTTTACATGTTATGGCTCATTCTTTTGCAGTTCAAGAATTGCTTATATTTTTAAAAGATATTCATTTTCTCTTATACATAATTGATTTTTTGTAAACTACAGTTCATAGTTCTTTTAGCTTGTAAGTATGAATATAGTAGAATATGAAAATGTGGCTATTTAGATAACTAGCCAAAAGGTCGTCTGACCACCAGTTTTAGTATTGAGCGTAAGATATTTTTATAGATTCATGTAAGGCAATGTAAATTGTCTTTCTACAATAAAATTTTTTGATGCAAATTTAGATTTCAGAAACTTTTTGATGGTATAAAGGAACTGAGGAACAAAAGGCTTTTTGAAATAGCTCACCTAGACCTGTTAATGTAATATATTCTTTCTGAGTTAACCAAATTAATTTTTTGTTTTTTAAGACTAGATCTAATCCCTCTAGCTTTTTTGCTGGAACTTTGGGGAAAAAGAACAAATACAAATATACAAATGATATGAACAATATAGTAATAATCTTTTGCAACTTAATATGTTACATAGTCATATGACTTGGTCTTGGAAGACAAAGAATTGTTTTGGTGCTGAATAAATATTAAAAATCAAGTGACAGAGAAAATGAAGGTAAAATTGTGGCACAGTTTCAGAGAGCGCCATTAATGATAATGTGTATTTGTCTCAAATTCTTAGCCCTGAGCTTGCCTCTTTAGAGTGGTGTTACCAGCGAGAGGGCAAGCATGTAATTAAGAGACACTCTAGAGGCATATGGAATGTGATTTGTATAAAACATACCTGCTGATTAGAAAAATGGTAAGAATGAAAATACCTTTATACATCATCTTAAGAGAGCGTATATCTAAACTAAATGGGCAGGCTTCATCCTCTACCTTTCTTTTTCTTTTCTTCTCTTCGCGTGTTTATGTCTTTTTTGTTGTTCAGACATTTTTATCCCTCTGCGTGCTCATTCTTGTAGTTCCGTTTCTATTGGCACTTCCTCCAAAATTTTTCTCTGAATTACCTTTGTTGAAGGTGACCTTTCTTCCTTGTGAACTCCTACACTTGCATCTCCTATTTCAGGGTTTGGCATACTTTTTCTTTAATGGGCTAAGAAAGTAAGTATCTTCAGCTTTGGGGGACATATGGTCTCAATAGCATCAACTTAACTCTGCTAACTGGAAGGCAAAAGTGTATCATCTTACTCATCCATAAACTCCACAGCACTCTGCATAGATAGGAGCATGTTTATAAGGAACTCAACAAATAATTCGGACACAGACATGAAATTCTCTAAGGGCAGACACTGATAACTAGTAAGAAAGGTTGATCATGAGTAACTTTGTATTCAGTGCCACCTTAGCAAGAATTGTAAAGAGGATAAACCTTTCTAGGAAGGGTGACGCGTGCTGGGTGAGGAAGGAGCATCTCTCAGGAGGGTAAACAGTAGCTGTGGATTTGCTGAGAGATTTTGGCTGTGAGTGACAAGCCTATATCAAAAAGAAAAGTGACTTATCAATCTCAGTTTTTATTGCTCAAAGCAATTCTTCACTCCTAATTTTTCCAAATTCCATTGTTTTTACTTTTTAGAGCTCTATCCTGAGTGTAGTCTGCATGTTTCTTTATTGTCATTGCCATGTGACTTCTTTGGTGACAAGTTCAGTAATATTTCAAGCATGATGTTTGTTTTGAGTTTGAGAAATGTGTTTGTGAGGACACATCACTTTAATTAAAAAGTGTGAATACTATGGTCATTAAGTTATTCAGAGTGAGATTTCTGAGTGGGGGAGAGAGAATGTAGATGGCAGTTATTGAGAGTGGGGCTATAGGAAAAAAAGAAGAAAAGTATGGTTAACATTCCCAAATAAAGGGTGATACAGCCTTGCTTTTTGCTGGGGTTAGCAAAAATCATTCTCCATATGCTAGTTTTAGATGTTCCCCAGTTCATTTGTATTATTGAGTTTTCAACTGGGTATATATTGTTATAATAGCAGTCAACATGATGTAGGGGCTCGGTATTACATGTCAGGACTATATTAATTGCTTCATGTGCCTTATCTCATTATTCTATGAGATAGAATTGTCTCCTCATTTTTTAGTTGCAGTAACTGAAGTTTAAAGCAATTGAATCATCTGCCCAAGAATAAGCTGCTGGTGAGAGCACAATTGGGATTTAAGTCGAGTTAGGCCCCAGTGATCACAGTCTTGACTGTTAAATTCTTCCAGCCTTCATTTTTCACTGAGATAATGGTAATGATAGTACTGACCTCTAATGTGTGCGTTTGTGGGTGTGTGGTCCATTCAGCTTTAATCCCCAGAAGACAAGACTTATTCCTTTTCTTATTTTTGGTCATGTTTTATTTTTCCATTGCTTTTAACAGGATTACCAAAGGCACACTCAGTAGTCAGTAAACACATTTCTAAGAAAGGTGTTGTGTCATCATGCCACATATTCATACTTGCCTTGGGTTGGAAAATATATCATTCAGTAAAAACATACAGGTAAAATAAATCTTGCCAATGCAATTGTTAACCTACAATCCTAATATACCTTAAGTATATCCTTGCACATAAATATAACATTGCCATTTAAAACGATAAACCAAGGTGAGATTCTTAGGAGCATGTTGTAAGTAATTACTAATGTTTGCTTTATTTTAGATAGATCACACAACTTCAAATAAAAACTGATATAGATTGAACACCCTGAGAATAAACCTTAGTGCCAAATGGAAAATAATTTTTTACAAGTAAATTTGAAGAACAATGTGGACTTTCTATAATTATATACAGAAAATATACTGATTTACCAAATGAGTAATTTTGATATATTAATATTTCACTTATAAGAATGCATACCACCTGATCCAGGATGGGATCAAGGAACAGAAAAAGAACATTAGGTGAAAATGAAAGAAATCTGAATATAGTATGGAGTAGCTAAAAACAAACCCCCCAAAAAAGGAAAAACAGAATAAGCCTTAGAAGATAGTGAGCATCCCACTTGGGTGACCACTTATAGAAGCTGAGGTGGGACTCCTGCATCTGATAAGAGGTTGCACTAGACCACAGGAACCACATTCCACTATAAGAACTAGGGTGGGACTGGACATGTCAAAACCTCCTGGGACCTCTATTAAATGTGCACATTCCCAGTCCCCACTCCTGAGCAGCTAAATCAATCTGCAGGTGGGCCTTATGAGTTTTCCCAGGGGATTCCGATGCCTGCTAGATTTAAACAGTAGATTAGATGTTAAGTTTTCCTGTAGTCCAGAGGTTCCATAGGCCTGTGTCAGGGAACAGGGGTCAGGGCTGGGAAGGCATTAGAACAGAAGATATATTTGAGGCTCTGTTACGCTGGTCATCCAACCCAACCAGATATCTCTTGTTATATGCTAACCTCATTTTCTCTTTATTGTCTATCGTGGCATAAAATAAATTTTATGTAGCCAAAAAACCTAACAAAAAGCACTTTTCTGTATAATGAGTAGTTTATTTTAAGAATGGGTACTACGTAAATACTGGCAAGTGAAAGTTCATTTTGTTCAGTGCTATGGGCTGGTGCGTTGCATTTCAACACTAGCTTCTTAACTTTTATCTACCCTGAGGGTAGATAACCCATATTCTAAAATGCAGTATCATTTTCATTTACTATTAGTAACATTTTAAGAAATATGTAGTTTCTAAAACTTCATATACTTTATGTGGAATATGAACAACTTTAATATGAATAGTCTAGAAAAAAACTTTTTTTTTTAGGAAAAATTGCCACGAAATCATGAGCTAAGTCAATGGTTATTTTAAGCCACTTAATTTTGAGACTAGTATTTCATACAGAAAAAGCTAATACTGATATCACATGCTAATTGCGTATAAAACACTAGGAATGTCAAAATAGAACATAAGAAAATGAATCTAGTGGACCCACTGCATAGTGTAACTTTGGGATGAATTTAAAAGAATATTTAAGTCACAGTCAATTTTCTGTTGGTCTGATTTTACCAAATAACCCCCTAAATAAGGAGTCTGATTTATCTAAAATAGAAGTTAACGTAGCATCCCAGTGTTGCCATTCTAAAACTCTGGCGTGTAAATGGGAGAAATAGAAATAAGCTCAGACTCGGTAGAGTAACCCATTTCTTCATGAACCATAGCATTTAACTAGAATTTGGCCAGCTCATGCCTGTAATCCCAGCATTTTGGGAGGCCAAGGCAGCCAAATCACTTGAGCCCAGGAGTTCAAGACCAGCCTGGACAACATGGTGAAACCCCATCTCTTCAAAAATACGTATTTTTTTTGTGTATGTGTGTGTGCACAAAAATTACCTAAGCGTGGTGGTGCACGCCTGTAATCACAGCTACCTGGGAGGCAGAGGTTGCAGTGAGCTGAGATCGCATCATTGCACCCCACCCTGGGTAACAGAGCGAGACGACTCTATCTCAAAAAAAAGAATTTCACTAGAATTTATATCTTCAATGTTTGCATTAGATCGTCACCAGCACTTTCTGCCTTGTGACTGTCAGGACTAATCCTTACATTGTTTATCGTATGTCCTTTACCTCAGTTTATGTCCATCACCACAAGAAACCCAGACCTCCCTAATCATACCTTATGCCCTGGTCTTACCCGCATATGGCTCGATACAGCTGCATCTCCCCAAACCTCAGAACTCCTTGGGCCATCATTGTCAGAGACATTTGAACCAGAGCAACTCCATCTTGAGTAGGGGCTGGGTATAATGAAGCTGAGAGCCACTGGGCTGCGTTCCCAGGAAGTTAGGCATTCTTAGTCACAGGATGAGATAGGAGATTGGCTCAAGGTAAGGTCACAAAGACCTTGCTGGTAAAACAGCATGTGGTAAAGAAGCCAGCCAAAACCCACCAAAATCAAGATGGGAATGAAAGTACCTCTGGTCGTCCTCACTGCTCGTTATACACTAGTTATAATGCATTGGCATGCTAACAGACACTCCCACCAGCACCATGACAGTTTACAAATGCCATGGCAACATCAGGAAGTTATCCTATATGGTCTAAAAAGGGGAGGAACCCTCAGTTCTGAGAACCACCCTTTTCCTCGAAAACTCATGAATAATCCACCCCTTGTTTAGCGTATGATCAAGAAATAACCATAAAAATAGCCAACCAGCAGCTCATGCTGCTGCTCTGCCTATGGAGTAGCCATTCTTTCTTCATAAACCTGCTTTCACTTTATGGACTCCCCCGAATTCTTCTGCAGGAGATCCAAGAACCCTCTCTGGGAGTCTTAATCGGGACCCCTTTCCAGTAACTTCAGCAGGATCTGTGAGTGTCAGTTTCCTTCTGTGGGGCAAAACTAAGTGCTAAGTACACTCCCCCCCTTTCTCTGTTTTTAAGAGAATTTTCTGCCTTTTTGAAGTGGCTACATTGTCTGGGGTACATACCCTGGAGTTCATTGTCACAGGAGAATTGAGGACAGACACACGAGGAGTTTAGGAAGTGGAGGTTTAATAGGTAGAAGAGAAGGGAAAGAGAAACAACTTCCTCTATAGATATCTGCACTCACACCGTGCATACCTCCAGGCTTTAAGGCATGGCCCATAATGTGTCTCCGAGTGGAAAAAACCGATGGTCTCCAAGTGGAAAAGACCAGTTGGTGGTGAATGCGCCAAATTTTCTAGTCCGGTTTGAGAGGCGGTTTCTGATTGGTTCGATCAGGTATGACATTTGGATAGTGCATGTGGAAGGCTGGTGGCCCCTCTCTGATCTTGTGCAAATAGGCTTTCCAGTTGATTGGGCTCATCTTGTCTAACACGTGGCTGGCAGAGAAGGGAAGATGAAGCCGCCATCTTGAAAATGTCTAGTCCTTAGTTTCTGCTGGCATTCACCCATGCAAGCTCCCAGCTTGTTTGTCTATGTCTGCAGCTCAGCTTTACAGACTGCTCTTTGTTAGAAAATGATTTGGAGCTGCTTTTCGTTAAAGAGAAAAGCCTTACCGAGGACTCCCATACCCTTACTATCTGCTTAAGTGATTTCTCCTGTATCACTTTTATACAGCACAGAATAATGATGTGTCCATAAATGAGCCTTTGCAAGATTACCATTTATCAAACAAAACCAGTGATGTTTAGTTAACTGTTTGTAATAGTAAATGGTTGGTAGAATGTCTAATTCAATAAATGTTTCATAGATGAGTAAATGAATGGTTTAATTTCAATAAGCTCGATTCTTGATCAAATGTTCCCTTTTAAATCTAATTTTAAAAATCTGAGTTTGATATTTTTTAAAAAGGTTAATATAAACGTAGCATACAATACTGCAATTTCACTCCAGGTTATCTGCCAAGAGAAATGAAAATATGTCCACATGAAGACTTGCACACAAATGTTCTAAGCGTGATTCATAATAGCCAAAAAAAAAAAAAACAACTCATGTGTCCATCAATTGGTGAATGGCTAAAAATGATGTGATATAGTCACACAATGCGATACTGTTCAGCATAAAAAGGGAACTCCACCTCCTCCCACTGCAACTGGAATAGCTGGTTCTGTTGCGGCTTCCACCTGGCTGCAGCTTCCTCCTCACCTCCTCTTGATCTTCACCTCAGATCCCCTTCGTCCACCTTCACCCATGCTGTGGTCACCAGCCCTGTGGCAACCTCCAAGTCTGGACATTCTCCTTCCCCTCTGGCACTGCTTACCAGAGTCAGTTTTCCTCACATCTCTGCACTGACACCATGCATACCTCTAGGCTTTAAGGCATGGCCCATGATGACCATAAGGAGCAGTAGAGCCCAGGCTGCTGCCTGGGAACACAAGTAGCCCAAGAAGCAGTGGACTAGCCTGAGGCCCCGGGTGCTTGCTGGGCTGCAGACACCCTTAGACACTGAGTTCATCAACAGTTGGCCTGACTGCACCAGAACAAATCAAGTTTGCTAAAAAGAATCGTGATCTTGAAAGAAACTAGGGTGCCTTATTTAAGCCTCTGCAATGATTTGAGATGAAAATGACCAATTCAGAAAACGGTTGTGATAGTCTTATCGAGCAAAGGGGGCTTGCTGCCTGATGCATTAAAAGCCTATACTGTGACATCAGGTTTTTGTGAAAAGGAAAGCTTTATTTGAAAGTCAGCACTCAAGGAGACAGGAATCAAGCTCAAATCTGTCTCCCTGTGCTGGCTTTAAGGTAATAATTGTATTACAAAAGGTTTAGAGGATGAATACTGGCATTAGCAGGTGATTGGTGGTAGGAAAGAGGAGGCCTGCAAAGTCCCGGGGCATATGCAGTTATCTCTTCATGTCTCCTCATGGGTCCCATGTGCAAATTTGGGAAGGAGTTAGTATAAACCGTGTGGTGGAAATTTAGGCTGTGACATTAGTAAGCGTGTTCTGTACAAACTTTAGTTGGCCATCCTGGTTCCAACTGATTGCAACCAGTTTTTCCATCACCTAAGCAAGGAGGTTTCTGTGTTTCAGCAAGTGGTTTCTTTTTCTATCTGGCATTCTACAAACTCGAAAATTTCTGTTAGTCATTGGTTTCTTTAACTCTTTGTGGTATTGTTTCAATTTTCAAATAAAGCATGAGGCAAACATCAAACAAGCAAAGCTTAAAGAAGAAAAAGGCTGGAGTAAAGGAAAATTCCAAAGAAATAACTGGGGCAAAGCTGAAGAAAAAGAGTTTAAAGGAATTTCTGATGAGGCTAAAGAAAATTTCTGGATTTTAGTTCACTGTTTTAAAGAATATTGTTTTGATTCTGTGATTAAGAAGCATTAATGAATTTGTTGTAAAAAATTTGAAAGATGTTGAACTAAAACTCAGTTCCTGGCAAGCCCCTAAAGTTACACATTTGAGTTTCACTTTGAGCCCGGTGAGTATTTTAAAAACAAAACGCTAACAAAGACATATAAAGTCTTGACCAGAATTTATATCAAATCCTTACCTTTGTCGGGGAGTTGAAATTCAAAGCTGCATAAGATGTCAAGTAGATTGGAAGAAAGGAAAAATCTATCACCATGAAAACCATTCAGATGGCTGGGCGTGGTGGCTGACACCTGTAATCCCAGCACTTGGGGAAGCTGAGGCGGGCAGATCATGAGGTCAGGAGATCAAGACCATCCTGGCTAATACAGTGAAACCCCATCTCTACTAAAAATACAAAAAAGTTAGCCGGACATGGTGGCAGGCTCCTTTAGTCCCAGCTCAGGAGGCTGAGGCAGGAGAATGACGTGAACTTGGGAGGCGGAGCTTGCAGTGAGCAGAGATCGTGCCACTGCACTCCAGCCTGGGTGACAAAACAAGACTCCATCTCAAAAAAATAAAAAATAAATAAATAAAACCATTTAGAAGAAGAAAAGCAGTGTGAATGGGAAAAAACAAAGTTACTTAAGTAGTTTCAGTGATTCATTCTTTTTTAGTCTTCCTATAGTTCCTGAACAAGAATACCTGGATGAAAAAGAAGCAGTTATGCTTGCTTAGAACTTTAAAATAAATCAGATTATACATGATGATGAAATCGCCAAATCAGTATCTTACCTTACAGGAAGTGTTTCTCATGTTTCTGAAGAGGATCCTGATAATAAATATGACAGGACACTTGATGAGGATGAGGAGGATACATTTGCAAAAATTACTAAAAATATGAAGAATATCTGACTAGAATTGTGTGAACTGTAAGCTATAATGTGTAACCTTGGTTATTATAACAACTTAAAGCCAACAGCATTTATAGTCTTACTGTACATAATTTTCTTGGTGGAGATAGTTTTAGAGAATATGCCAAGGAAGTTTTGAAGTATTAATTAATTATCCTTAGCTTGTATTAGTATCAGTTTCTGCAAGATGTGGAGAATGAAGTAAATTCCATAAAGCAGATTAATTTGTTCTGACATATTTACTTTGTGTGAACTCCTTTTGACAAGTACTTCTCGAACTGCAACTCCAAACATTATTTGAACTATTAGCAGATATATATTTACATATATATTTTGTTTTGGCTCAGTTGAAAGTTTATTCTGCTAGAGCTAGAGGTATTTTCTTTATTCTGCTGAAGCAATGCAGTGACTTATTAAACTATAAGGTAGTTTGCTTTTTAAATGTTTTAAATCAATTACTAGTCCACATTTAGGAATTTCTATTATAGTGACAATTAATGTTAATTACTGCTTTATTATGATTTTCTTAATGACAGTAATCTATAATTAAACTCTCATAGTGAGATATTTACCATTATAGTATTAATATAATGTTCTTAAATGTTTGCATAATGGTAGGTAAGATGAATAAGCACATTTTCTTTGGGGCAGAGCCCATGTTATATTTCATTGAAATGTTCAAAAGTACTATTCGGCAAGCTTTGTTCACGTTCTTTTGTTACTTGGAAGTGTCAAAAATAAAAAAGGAACAGAAGAAATATTTCTGTGAGAGAAGATACATTATAGTAGTTAAATAGAGAACTTTTAGCTTGGCAAACTAGGGATTTTTTAATAGCATGTATAATTAAAATTTGAGAGATTTTTTTTTTTTTACACTGCTGTTCCACAAACATTTTGCTTGAGTAGATATAACATTTTGCTTTCTTTTGGAAACCCAAATAAGAGGGATATGATCAAAAAATAAGAAAGTGGTAAGAACACACAAACTGAATAAACAGCTGAACATACTAATAAGAGAAAATGTGTTTGTTGATTTCAGAAAGGAATTAATATGAAATAAGAGAAAGTTAACATAGTCTGTCTCTTTATCATCATTTAGAGACTGTACTTTCTGACAGGAAGTTGCTGCTAGGACAATATTAGAGATTATTGTTTTCATAAAGACAGTTCAAAGATGAATTAGTAATATGTCAATAATAAATGAGTAATTTATTAGTAACCGATCTTGTTATGAATGAGAGTGGGGAACTATTAGATTAAAGCCAGAAAACTGTATGATTGAATTCAGAATGGATAGAGAAGTTTGCATAAAGGCCTGAGATCCAATAATATTTGAATCCTACATTGTTTTCAGGAACAATATACAAAGGGGACATTAGCATAATGGAAATGAAAGTATCAGTAGTGCCCTATATGCCAATGTTTAGCTCTGTTTTAAAAAGGGTGAAAAAGCTAAATTGAAAACACTGGTTTGAGGACTAAAAGCATCTTCCTCTTAGTTCTAAACTACTGCATCTTGCCCCTCTTGCTAGATATATGGAGGAAAGAACCGGAAGGGAGTTTGCTTGGAGTGGGTGGGGAAAGAAACACAAAGGTAGAATCTGTATCAGCCCTTGATTAGTTTGTCCGCCCATTTCATCCTTGGAGATGATGGAGTGGGAAAGTGTTGTCTGTACATTAGGTTCCTATGACTGCTGTAAAAATTTACCCCCAATTTAGTGACAAATTTACCACCAACTTATCTTACAGTTTGGAGGTCAGAAGTGCAAAATGGATCTCACTAGACTAAAATCAAGAGGTCAACAAGGCTGCATTCCTTTCCTTTCTTTTCTTTTTTTGTAAAATATTTAAAGAGGTTTATTCTGAGCCAACTATGAGTGATCAAGGCCTGAGGTACAGTCACAAGAGGCCCTGAGAACATGTTCTCAAAGTGGTTAGGTTACAGTTTGATATACATTTTAGGGGGACAGAAGTTACAGGCAGACATTAATCAAAAATGTTAGGTGTGTATTGGTTTAGTCCAGAAAGGTGGGACAACTTGAAGGCGAGATGCTTCCAGACCATAGGTGGACTCATAAAGAGTTTCTGATTGGAAATCAGTTGAAAGAGTTACTATCTTAAGACCTGGAATCGATAGAAAGGAGTGTCTCAGTTAAGTGTTTGTGGAGACCAAGCTTCTTTTTCTTTTTTTTTCCAATAGCTCTTGGGGCACAAGTGTTTTTTGGTTACGTGGATAAATTGTATAGTGGTGAAGTGTAAGATTTGAGGCTGTAGGGAAAAATCTGGTTTTTTTGCTTTTTTTTTCAGCTTTTAGAGGCTGCAGATACTACTTCCATCTTCAAAGCCAGCAATGGCTAGTCATGTCCTGATTCTTCTGCCTCTCTCTTTCCCCTTGAAGGACCCTTGTGTTTACATTGTGACTACCTGGATAATACAGGTAATCTATTTAAGATTAGCTGATTAGCAACCTTAACTCCCTCTTGGCTTGTAACCTAGCAAGTTCAGGGGACAAGGATGTGGACATCTTGTTGGTTACTGTGGGCGGGGAGCGCCATTCTACTTTCATAACAGTGTAAGACTCTTTAATGCAAGTGATTCTACCAAATAAGCTGACTGAATAGAGTTACAACTTCTACCTAGGGTTGGAAACTAGGAAGGCCATGGAAAGAGGTACCAGCTTTCTGGCACTGAGAGAGAACAGAAATGTGTTTGCCCTTAAATATTTATTTATGTTCTCTATTTTAACCCATGGACTCTGAAAAGGGCCTAAATAGTATACTTTAAAATAAACTTCAAGAATATAATATTTTAACCCACATATTCATGCCCCTCATATTTTTCATTTATCAATACTCTAAGTACCTTATCCAGAAGAAAATCCTGAGAACTGTGTAATAAGCACATGACAACATAATAGAAAGCCAAATGTATTAGGTAAGTGAGAGCTGCTATCATTAAAATGTAACATGTCTGTTTTCCAAATAGCTGCTTCAACTGTGTGGAAATATTCCATTCTTACTGGGTAGCAGACAATTTCATTTCATGACTTTTTGGAACTTTCTAGTCTGATTTTGGCTTTAAAGACCAAAAACTTGCTTTTTTGTCTGTTTGTTTATTTTATTGCTCTCTTGTTTAACTTAAAGTCTTTTCTCAACCCTAAATGCAACCTCATCTTGAAGCAAAAGATGTATGTGTAAGATACCTCCAGTAGATGATTCCTTTTTCCTCTGCTCATCCTTCCAGGTCATCATTCCCAAATGCTCTTTTCTTTTCCTGTCATCATACCGAATATATAAGCAGACACCTCCAAAGTTTTAAGTAGTTCTCCTGGGGCCTTTCTCTGTTGGCTTGAGAAAGTTCCACCTTGTTCACCATGAGGAGGGAAAGAAGATCCTCTCTGTGAACCTTGCACTCTCCTCAAAAAGGTGACCCTCTCTCTTTCAGTGCTTTCATATGCTAGGTGCGGGTAGTAATAGTGCCAGTTCTGATAACTTTTTGCTTCTTAAATTATGAGGGGGGAAATCCAAATTGGTATTCTGAGATACTGTAACTCTATTTCTTGGTTCTATATGAGGAATCAGTCTGTTATCTTAAAATACACTCTAGGAATGTGCAGGGGTTCTAGTCCATTTCATAGAACTGTTGTAGCAGCTACCATCAGCAGGCAGGTGGAGGTTTTTGCTTATCTTTCCTTAGGAAAAAAAATTCACATACGTGTGCTACCACAGAACCAGCATCATTTCCCAGCCCTCAAACATCTGGTTGGCATGTGTACAGATATACAACTCAAATCTCAGCTCCCATGAACTTCCCTCTGAATCCAAAATCGGCCCAGAACTTGTTTTTAACTGTTGTCACGCTTTCCTATGAGAGATTAATATTCTATTCCACTACAACTAAATGACCTACCTCTATCATACCTACCCATAGTCCTGGCAGTTATCCCAGAATCTATTTCAATAGTGAGCCTCTTTGACGAACCAGTGCCATCCTACGTAGCCTGTCACAAAATGAGAGCCCCAGAAAATGCAGTTAATAACATCATGGCCAGATGCCCATTGAACGTCCCAAATCTGAAAATCCAAAATCTGAAATGCTCAGAATTCGAAATGTTTTGAGTGCCGACGTGGTGTTCACAGGAAAAACTTACTGGAGTGTTTTGCACTTCGGATTTTGGGATTTGGGATTCTCCACCAGTAATTATAATGCAAATATTTCAAAATCCGAAGAAGAAAAGAAAAACTCAGAACTCTAAAACATTTCTGGTCCCAGCCATTTCAGATAAGGGATATTCAACTTGAATTTCTTCATGCCCTCTTACCTCCATGGCTGCTCTTTCTCAGTCTCCTTTTTGAACTCTTTCTACTGTTCAGCCTCTAAGTTTTAGACCACCAGAGTTCTTGTTGCTGGGACTCTTTGTTTTCTCTATCTGTACTCTCACAGTGATCTCATCCAATCCTGTGGCATTAGATGCCATTCACACACTAATGACCAGGAGTAGCTTCATGGGCATGCTACCTGTGAAGTTGCACAAGACCTCACATTCTGAAAGGCACTGTGTTTAGTTTAATGCAATGATATTGCTATCTTAAAAGCTTTAATAATTCATTTGATCTTTGAATCTATATTGTGTAAGTGAAGACTGATGGGAAATGGAGCACGTGCACAGCAGGGGATATGCCGCCATGTATGTGTCTACCACCACTCTTTGACAATCCATTTGCCTCATGAACACAGAATTCTGGTGGGCCTACAATACATGTGGTTCAGTGAGACTCAAAGAGAGAAAAAGGTACCGTTTACATCTACAGTGGAATAAGTGGGGATGCTGACGTTCTCAAGAGGCCACATTTTCCATTTGAACAAGAACTTGTTTGGACATAGAACACAAAAAGCCAAGAAATCCTATCCACACCCTGAGCTCAGTGTGCTTATGTGTGAGCTGTGGGGGCAGAGGTAATAGTATGAAGGTTAAGGTCCATCCAGTGCATAGCAATGGCCACGATGAGGCTACCATCTGGCCACACTTTTAATTTCACATACCCCTGGGCTTAGTCATTTTCTCCTAAGACCAGCACCTACACCTGAAAGAGGTGACAACTTCAACTACCTACCTGTTGTTGACCCTAGATTACCAGCCTAGACTTCTGATTCACTCAACAATATTTTATTTGGGGATCCTTGATGTCTTCCACATCACTGGGCTTTTGAGAGAGGCACATACTGCTATACCATAAGACTCCTTTATCTCTGAATCTTAGAAAGAGTTGCAATAAATGGCTTTATAAAAAAACAAAAAGTTATCTGGTATCCTCATGCAACTTGCTTCATCCTCCCTCCCAAGATCTGCATGCAGAGACAGGGCCTAGAAGAGAATGCCAGCTTCCCTAAGTCAGATCAAAAGTCCCCACCCTCCTTTTCTATGGGAATCATGACTTTCTGGTATATATCGGTGTAGCATAGTGGTCATGCACATAGGCATCAAACCCAGAGCACCTCAGTTCTAAACCCATGTTTTCTCATATCTTACCTGGGTAACACTGAGGAAGTTGCTTATCTTCCCCGTACCTCAATTTCTTCATACACAAAAAAGCATATAATAATAGAATTTACCTTATGAAGTTGTTGTATCTTTTAAATAAATAACTCAGTTTACAGGGCTTGTAACAGTGTCTGGCCTACACAGCATTATGTAACTGTTCTGCTTTTTACCAGGAAACCGAATTGGGTGGAGCCCCACGCACCAGCTCAGAGGCCGGCCTGCTCTGTAGACTCCTCTCCTCTGGGACAGGGCATACTCAAACAAAAAGCAGTAGAAACCCTCAGCACGAGGTACAATGCCCAGGCTGGTCCTGACCAGCTTTGAAGAGAGCAATAGGGATCTCGCACGCACGGCAGGCCCTGAGATCTGACGAAATGGACAGGCTGCTGCTCAAGGGGTCCCTAATCCTGAGTAGCCTACCTGGGAGACAAGGATCCTACTAGGGCCAGACCTGACACCGTCACACCTGCACACGCGGGGTATGCACTCCTCGAACAGAAGATTCAAGCAAGAATCGCAACACTTCGCTGTCGCAGCAATATTCATCTTCTGCAGCCTCCACTGCTGATACCAGGCAAACAGGGTCTAGTGGCGGAGCCTCCAAGCAAAACTCAACAGACTTACCAACTGAGGGGTCCGCTGACTGTTAGAAGGAAAACCTAACAAACAGAAAGACAACCTACATCAAAACGCCCATCAGTAACGTCACCATCCCCATAAAGACGCAAGAGGCAGATAGAAACAAACGCACAAAGGAATGGGGAAACAAGCAGTGCAGAAAAGCTGAAATCCAAAAATCAGAGCGCATCTCCCCTCTCAGTCCAAGAAACGCAGCCCTCATTTGCCAGCCAATGCAAAAAACCTGGACAGAAAAAGACTTTGACCAGTCGAGGAGAAAGCCTTCAGCCAATCCAAACTTCTCAGAGCTAAAAAGAGGAACTACATAACCAGCCGGCGAAGAACCTAAAAACCTTGAAAACAGAGCTTTGACTGAATCGGCTAAGCTAGAATCAACCAATGTAGAAAGCTCCTTCAAAAGAAACTGATAGAAATGAAAACCATA